TGCTCTTCGTAGAAAAGCGAATTGAGGGGCGTCGGCCTTACACCTTAGAGACAACTGCTTCCAGCAAACAAGTGAACTTTCTCATTTCAACATCTTCATAAAGTCTACTGCACTGCCATTCAACACAGAATATGGTAAAATACTTTGGAGCTCAAGGCAAATATTATTGCCAGTTCTCTCCCTTCAATACCTGCATATAGCTTTGTGAAAGCCTGCAGTTTTGCTCATCACTTCTTCCATCACTTGAGTGGGTAGTTTAACGTGTGGGCTGCGTGTAACGGTGTGGGGTACATGGAAGATTACTTTGTGGTCTCACCATGAAGTCATGTGATCAATTGTGGGTGTCGTATTAAAGATGGTGCAAGCCTTATTGAAGATGGTTCCAGTAATGTTTGTTATAAGTTCACGTTTCGTTTAACACTCAAACAGTCTTCAAACCATCTAGGCTAAATAAAAAGACCCCAAAATTCTATCCCATTTCTCTGTTAACATGTACTTCATGGCTAGTTACTTTTCCATTTGCTTTACTTTGATGACAGAAGTCTACCTAGTGAGGCATCGTCTCAAATGTATTTCGGTATTTGATTATTCCTACTGAGCTATGATGCAACACTTACCTTTTCAGCCAAGATGATGTTGAGCAGGGTTTCTTTGGCATCCCCACTCTTTTTGGACCCCAGCAGATGTGATAATAACTGGTGCCTGTTTTTTGTAGGCTTGACGTTATGGAAACAATGAATGCGTCAGAGGAATTATCACTTACTCAGAGCCGAGAACTTCAGTTCGACATGGAGACCAGCTTTGAGAAATTTAAGCGTATCAATTCTTGAAAATAGACTTACTATTTTCTTCATGAACCGCCTTCGAACTTATTCAGTGTTGGGTTGTCTGTGCACCAGTATCGGTTATCATTGCTAATCTGTAATTTATTTTGTGGGATTCCTCATCATTCCTTCGTCATGTCTACTACCGTTGCGTTTCAAAAGCACCGTTTTACTAATTCTCTGGGAGGGCATTTGATGCCGAATCAGATAACTATCTTTTATTTGTTTTGCTAAGTCTCTGTGCTGCTCTCTTCTTAATTAGTAACTCCTCTCCTGCCATAGAATCAGCATGTAATGGCCTGTTTTAAATTTCATTTTCATTATTCCTGGGTTGTTTCGAAAATTTGCAAAGTAGACACCATAAGGTTCTCAATAGGAAATGAACGTAGCTGATGTATTTGTTTGCTTCCTCGCGCTGTCAATACGTGCGCTCCTGTGGAATTGACAAAGGTGAATGGTGCTTCAAATTTGCACAGCTTACTGCACTGTACTTTATGAGGTAAGCAGCTGAAATAAGTTGGACTCCGGCAACATTTGTTGCAGTAGCCTATGCATGCTTCCTTATTTCTTCACGTCCGCCGTTACCTTTGCATTTGGCAAAGTTTCTTTATCCTACCACTTCGTTGTTCTTTTCCTGGAGAATGTTACTCTAACAAGTAGCTTGGATTAGCTACTAGTCTACTTTCCAGCTCATCCAACTAATTGAAAAGTCCAAAGGAATACTTCGCCACTCCGGTGTCTGTGATTTACATGCATAAGGAAGCAGATTTGTTTGCGATCCGTTGTCAGACGCGCTTTCCTTCGCTCTGGTCTTTGGGTTTATCTTTTCCGTCTTAACCCAAAACGGCTCACCTTTCCTCTCCCTTTACCTGCCATTGTGAAGCTGATTTCTATGTCCACTTCAGCCGTCACCTGCCTTTGCGTTATGGCATTCCGAGGTTACTGCGCATCACGATCAGACGTTGTGGATGACTTGGCAAAAAATGCATGAATGAGAATGCCCCATACTTCAGTATTTTTTAAGAATGATGATGCGTATTTTACTGCAATCGCTATCTGTGTCTGTAGGCGGGTCATGCCTTGATTTGTGCGTTTGGTGCGACTTAACCTAGGCTGCCCGAGGCCCTTCTGATCAGTCGTTGGTCCCAGGTGGAAGCATTCAGCATTCTGCTTTTCTGCATTCTAAAGCAACCCACAGTATAAGTTGAGCAGAAAACTTAGGCAAAGTTATTTGGGGAGCCGTGTGTGCTGCTGCCCTTGGATGTCGGTCAGGCGGAACCATGCAGGCACGTGTTGTGGCAAAAGTGCTTTCTCCAAATTTCTGTTTCATACACGAATTCAACAGACCGTGGTGTCTCACCAGTTTCATTGTTTTTCTTTTGAATGGGAATATGAATGGCATCGCGTCTTGTGCTACCTCGATGCATAATCTTGCCATCTCAAGAGGATCTAAGGCTGCAAGGCGCTTGAATAACTTCCATTGTTCCCCATTAATCATTTGAGTGTTGGTGAAAAAACCCGGTTTCCTTAGTTTCAAGTGATTACTTGTCGCGTATGAGAGGACAAAGGGTCAAATGGTGTGTCGATATAATGCTTTCCAATTCATTCGATGCCAGCCTTGCACCTCTGAGGCGTTGAGATTCTTTGACTAACGGTAAACAATGAAAACTGAATGACAAGCACGAATTTCAATCGAGACACATTAGTCAGCAAATGAATCAGTGGTGATGACTAGATGGTCCAACTCCCGCTAGTTTCATAGACTGTGTCGGAGTGTTGACAAAACTTCGCCTCTTCAGTGCATCGAAAACGCACAAAAGTGATGAAAAATATCGTATTTGAATGCATACACTATACTGTAGTGATATTCGAAGAGTTACACATCTTGGTGTAGGGCACGGGAAGCAGGTGAGGGTCTCCCCCGCCTCGTCTTCAAGTGGGCGGGCAAGAGACGGGTCCTCCCATCCGTGCACACACGCACACACTCTGAAAATACGGAAATAAACAAAACAAAAAATAGGAAAGACCAATCGAATACGTGCTCTAGTTATGGGAGGTAAAAAAACACGAGGGCACTGTATGGAGGTGGGACACGGTTGAGGGGAGAAGGTGGGAGGAGGG